GGATGATCTGCAAGGTCCATTCCAACCCCTTAACATTCTGTGGTTCTGTGATTCTGTTTTGTTGATTGATCAACTCAACCCCAGATTTCACCAGCCTTGCAGAAGGCACAGGTCATACCTGGAGTTTCAGCCACTTGCTACTTGCATAAATATTTTTAAGTGTTTGAGAATTGGTATTGTAAATTTTGTGTTTTGATCATTAGAGGGAAAAGTCAGTCTTTACTCACTTGAAGCTTACTGCAAAAAAAAAAAAAAAAGACCAACCCCTCTTGTTCCAATATTAGATTTTGAAACAAATAGTTTCTTGTTATTCTAATGATCTTCTTCCACATCACCCACAGCAACTTAATTAACTTTGCTTGACCTTACAGGTAACCCTAAAATCACAGATGTGGGAATTCGATACCTTCTTTCTTTCAAGAAACTGAATTGTTTGGACATTTCTGGGACAGGTCTCAAGGTAAAAAGCATCAGACAAAGTTTACTGGACAAGTGCAATGTATGTTGTTGCCCTCTGACTGCTTTGTTTCCCTTCTCCCTAGGACGTGGATGCTGTCATTAAGCAGATCCAAACGCAGCTAGGCCTGGCTCACTCAAAAGTGCCTCTGAAAGAGTTTGATCACAGTAACTGCAAAACAGAGGGATGGGCAGAGCAGGTATGGGGATTTCAGTCTGGTTTATTCTCCAGAAATTGGCCTTATAGAGCATGAAGTCACTAAATAGGAAAGAATAAGGGATGGAGTTGTTTCCAGGGATATTTCTGTAAATTTTACCAGAAACATTTTAACTCCTTGCGATGTTATTTCAGACAGTTCTGCAGTGGGAGCAGGCAGTCATGGAGGCCATCAAGCCCCAGGACAACTTGAGATCCAGAACAGCAACTCTGCGCTTCTGTACGTAACTGCATGGACAGCACATGGTTTATTTATCTCCTTTTCTAGGAGGAATATTTCCATGCTTGGTGTTTTTCTAGCACAAATAGCATCTCAGGTGTTTTGTGTAACTGCATTATCATGGGCTTGAGTTTCTTCATGTGTTAGACTGCTGGATAATCCAAGCATAGCATGGTGACATGCTTAGGGCAACATATAACTACTGAGTTTCCTCCTTAACACTCTGAGTTCTAAATATCAAGGTTATTTTCCCCTCATGCTCATTTCATCAGTCAGTATTCCAAGCTGGAATTTGCACCATAAGTATGCATTGTACAGCATAATTCTGTTTTTCTCCTAATCTAAACTTGATTTCTTTTCCTTGTAGATGGCAAGACCCACAGAATAGAGGAAGTAGTCAAATGCACACTGGTGGAGGCAGAAGCTAAAGCATCTGGAAACTTGCAGTTCTACAAGGAAAAGGTTCAAAGTTGCCACTTACCTTTGAAAAAGGAGGTTGCAGGCAGCCATGAATTAAAGAACAATAAGAAAAGAGCTTTGGCTGAACATGAGAGAGAAAGGACTTCCAAACAGAAGCATCTGTGCCTCACTGTGGAGGACTGGGATTTGTTAAATGCCTACTGAGTCAGAGAGAAGTGGGTCTTTTGTTTGTTTTCTTGCTGATGACAGGATTTAGAGATACTGAGAGGGAGTAACAAAGGAGACCAGCACTGTTCAATCTGGTTGCTGTGACATGCTTGTGGGTTAACCTGTGTTTGGGGAGGGATAGAGGCAAGGGAAAGGTTGATGATACTACTTTATATTTTCAATACATAATAATTTTTTCAAATAAAGTTTTTGTTGTCATCCTTAACTAATTCTTCTGGTGTAGAAATTATTCACAAAAACAGCTGGTCCTGTCCCTCCTCCTCTCCTGCCTCCTGAGGGCAGGAGACTAATCACTGCAGCTCATCTGAAATGATGCTTGTCAAGTGCCCTGGGATGTTAATACTGCTGCTAGAACAGAAACCTCAGCCTGAACGCACCAGGCTGCGCTGATGGAGCTGTGACAGAGGGAGGGAGCAGAGAGGGTAAGCACAGGTCCCAGGGGAGGGAGGCAAAGGCAGTTACCCCTCAGCAGCAGTTACTGCAGAAGCTCAAAGTGGAACAGAAGTGCCCTTTCTCTCTCATTTTAGCCCAGGCAATGAAAGCTGAAACAGGGTTACTATAGAGATTGGGCTCTGCAGTTGTAATATGTTCTCCCTTAGAAGCAAATTCACTGCATTTGAGAGCATTCTGTGGTTTAAAGCCTGTTCTCAGTGTGCCTGCAATGCACTAACCATACGTCCCCATCTGTAAACATTCAGGGAAGTTCATACTTTGATATGACATGAATTACACATATTTGCTGTAAAACACCTACTCAGACCCATTCTGCATTGGTCTGTGCAGCTGTAATGCTGCAGGTAACTGTTTTTCACTGAATTCCTGCCCTGTGTGTTTCCATCAAAACTGGCTGAAGTGCACAGTGCCCATGAGCTGGGCACTGCAACCATCATTGTGCTCTTAGGCCTATGTCCAAAAACTTACTCCAGGTTTCCTCAACTAATGCTTATTTAAAGGGTATCTTCCTTTTACACTGTTGTTTACCACACTTCATTGACATGAAAAGCAACGCATCCTTGGAAATCATAAAGAAGAAAGAAAAACTTCAGCTCAAAATGCATAAAGAGCAAAACCCCTTTCTCTCTCTATTCTTATTGCTGAATTTCCCTTAAAAAAGGACCACACACAAACAAAACAGGCACACTTGCATTCAAACCCTATGTTTTTTTCCCAGAAACTCAAGGCTATTAATAGCTTCACTGACGACTACATCAGCTCTCTGCCGAGGCAAATAATGGCAGAAACAGTGACTCAAAACAGCAGCTCAGCAGGCAGGAAGGTGGCTGTGGCACTCAAGTGTAGTCCTCCTCCCCAAGCTGCTTCTGGTGCAACAGCCACCATGGAATCTTCAGCCCTTCCACCACTGGAGATCTGCTAATCTGACCGTGGTAAAAATATTGTTCTTCTTTCCAATCATACCGGCTGTGCCCTATGCTGAGCATGAGGAGTCCTATACATTTTTTTAACAGCTGATTGGTTCTATCCTTACTAAGTACAGTTGTTCTGTTCTACATATGCAGTTCCCATTGTGAGGGATGAGTTTTTCTCCCCCTCCTCTCCCCCTCCTTCTGACCATTGCCCTGCAGGTGGGTGCAGCAGTTATGGTCCACCACCCCCTCCCAATGCAGAGAGCTTGTTGCACATCCACTTCAAAGCCAAGGAACAGCCAAACAGTCCATGGCTGAACCCAATCTGAATGGGAGAGAAGCTCCTCTTCCCAAGGAATAGAGGCTGTCCCTGTAGCACTGCCTCTGAATCAGCCCTCCTTGAGCTCCCCTTAAGAGATGCTGCAAGGCTTCCTCAGTGGCTGCTCCAGAACATAATTTGGGGTAACAGAGAAACAATAGCAACTACAGTAACTCTATCTCTGTTTTGCAACCCCAACACAGCTTTCCTGAGGGGTTAGGTGCCTGTGACTCTCCAGTAAAAATGTGCACCTCCAATTTCAGGCTTTGATTGAGACTAGAAACTCTAAGCCTCTCTTCCAAGCTGCAGCACTGAGAAAACAAACCATCCCCCTCTCCAGACCTGGAGAGGAAGGAACAAGTTAGTAAATGTAGCTTTAAAATTTCCCCATGCAGAGTTTTGCCATCTCATTCCAGGTGAAGTATGAGTCACAATACTGTAAAGCTATTTAAAGATCTCTCAGATCTCTAGCTGTATCCTAGGGACAAATTAGAAGCAACATTCAGCGCTGATCCAAGTTATGATGACATGCAGAGTTGCACATCACAGGACAGAGAGGAAATGAGTGAACAGGGTTTTATTTTTAAATATCTGTGACCTGGGGTGGTTATGGGAAAAAGATCACTTGATGTTTATTTTGGGCCTAGAAAAGTAAGTGCACTCACTTCACTGTACGTGTGGGTTTTTCTCAGAGATGGTGTTTTAGATGCAGATGAAATTTTCAAAGGAGCAGAGAAGACCACATCTTTCTTAAATTTCAGTGTCATGTCCATACCTATATCCTGAGAACTGCTTTGAAGGCTTGGCTGCCTGATCCTGCCTTGCTGGCAGAGGAACAAAACAAGCAGCAAACAGATCTGGTGTCATCCCACACCACCTTGAGAGCAGCACTTGGTTTTCTGCTGCTCTCTGTTCCAGGGCTGCAGCTTTTTCTTCCTCCTTTCTTTGCCAACTTGAGTGAAATGCATCCCAACCCCATGGCTGTTCTCAACCTGCTGCTCCAAAACTATCCAGTTTATATACATTCTGTTTCCCTGCCCTGACTGTCGGGGACAGCTACATGGTCACAGGGACACAGTGATTGATCCCCACAAACCCTAAAACTGCTCCACTTCATTTTTCCTTTACATTCTCCACGTTGCCTTTCATGGTTTGAGAAGAAAGCAGGAAGTGACCTGAGCAGCAGCATCTCATGATGTCATTCCCAAGGAAGTGCCCAGGACAGAGCTCTCAAAGCCACTGCTGAAACCATCTGCAGATGTGTTTTGAACACAAATAGAAGCTTCTCCTCCTGGCCATGAGGATCAGGAGTATGAAGACATGTTGGAGGCTCACCTTACTCAGCTCCTGCTCCTTAGGGCAGTCCTCAATGTATCCTCAGCTGGCTGCCTGCAAAGGCACCAGCAGGTCCTTACAGGAGAAACTTCTTGCCCAGGGCTGCCTAGGCATCATGTCTGTGTCAGCAGTGGCAGGTGAACAGTCTCCAGCAATCACACACAACCCATCAAGTGAATGCTGCAGGACAGTGCTCTGCCCATGCAGAAGGGCTTCACCTCATGAGAGGAGAACCCTTAGAGGTGTCCCACAGCCAGTGTCCAGCCTGCAGCATGGGCTGCCACATACCCTTGGTCCCTGCTCAGTGTCACTGTGCTGCTGCTGAGGATTTGCTTGGGCTGGAGCTTCCCAAGTGGGTGGCAGAGCAGGAGGACACCAAGGCTCAAAGGTGACAGTGTGGGAAGCACCCTGCTGTCTCTGGTGCCAGTGGGTGCCAGAACTTCATGGCCTGCAGATGTACTCATCGGACCAGCCGAGGCAGTGCTGGATGCCATCCTGGCACAGCCTCCTGGGGATGCAGGAGCAGTACTCATAGTGCACAGGGCTGCAGCTCCACCACTCCCACCCACACAGGGGACAGGAGGCCACTGGGAGGGATAGAAAACAGGGAACAGAAATGCTTCTGTTTCAGGAAAACAAGGAATAAAAATGCTTCTTCTGCTGCACTGACTCCTTCCCTCCTTTCTTACACAGGTAAAACCCTTTCACCTCCCAGAAGAAAAGCCACTGGTGACAACCTTGCGACTGTGAACCCACCAAAGATGATGCTCACTTGGTGCTACTTGTGGCACACAACCACAGAGTGTGACATTGCAATGACCTTCGTGGCAGACAAGCCATTCTGGGAGGAAAAACTAGCTGTAATTCTTTTTTCTGTTGTTCAGAACCAGGATGGTGACTTAGGAACAAACCTGCTGCTCATTTTAGCAAGCGAAGCTGCTGAGGCACACTCAGTCCCCCTGGCTCAGAGACATGCCCTTCCCCTGACCAACTACCAAAGGCCAGTTTGAATGGTCACTGCTGCCTATAGCTATGCATCACAATGAGACTGCTCCACACTCAACAAGCCATGGAGAAGTGACTTTCGGGTCTGTGAGCAAAGCATAGAGTCTTTCCTCTCTTGGCTGCCATGAGGCCTTGACACAGAACCCTTGGCAGCTGATGGGATGGTTCATACATCCTATCCCAGCTATTCTGTGTTTTAGTGGTAGATGCCAGCCTTCAGGTGATTCCAGCAGCATCCATGAACACCACACATGCAAAACCTATTGCAATCCGTCAGCAAAACAGACCTGTTGTCCAACAGTAGCCAGAGCAGAGACTTACAGCTCCCTATCTCATCAGAGCAGTCTCCACAGTCGTTCATCCCGTTACACCTCTGATCAGCATAGACCCAGGACGTGGGGTTACTGCAGTGGAAAACCAGGTATCCTGGGAGGCTGTGGGGCAAGTCACCTGCAAGAGTGGACACATGGGACACACTTAACTCCACCAGGCAGACACTGGCTACAATGGGCATGGCAGCCACCAAAGGCTGCTGGCATGGGGAGCTGGTCAGTCCTTCCCCATGTGGTGTCAGTGTATGGATAACACCACAGATGGGGAAGCTGCAGTTGGAGAGGGAAGGGGATGCTTGTGGCTGAGCCAGAAGCAGAGTCAGAGTACTCCAACCTTCTGCTTTAATGAGGTTTTTTTCCCAGGGTGACTGGACAATAAATTACCCATGGAGGCAATACAGCCTCACCAATGCACAGAAACTGCATCATGGCTTAAAAAAAAATCCCTAGGAAGACCAGAGGAGCTTGGAGTCTCTGATTCCTGGCACTCCTGCTAGGTTTTGGGCAGTGCCATCTCTCAGCACCTGCCCTACAAAGGATCTACCAAGTTCATCTGCTCCCATACACGGCCAGAGCACGGAGCAGGATTAGAGGAACATCAGCTGCTCTGCCTCACACCAGAAGGACCAGCCTGAGGGGGACAGTCACAACAAAACCACTCACCACAGAGCTTCTCCTGCTCATCCTCTCCGTCCCTGCAGTTGCTGGCTCTGTCACAGACCTGGCTGGCAGGGATGCAGGTCGCTCTGTCATCACACAAGAAGCCTGTCTGGTTGTTGGAGGCTGTGCAGAAACGGTTCACTGAGGGGGAAGCAAGAAATCCTTTATTTTCCAGCATTTTCATGATATGGGGAACACATCAAGGGGAAGACAGAGGGATTTCTGAAATTCATTTGTTTTGGAAATAACCAGGGGCCAGGTTTAATCTCTGGTAAGTTCTGCAGCAAGTTTTAAGCCTGATGGTGCCACCAAGAGTTACCTCAGCCCTACAGAGCAGGACAGTGGAGCTGAGGAACAGCTGGTGCCCTGCAAGGCACCAGTCCCACACCACTCTGCTGATCCCTTTCCTTCCTCCTGCTCTGTGCTGGAAAGCACCACTTAACACACAGTGAAGGATGTGAGGGCTGTTCTCACATAGCATCATTTCTGCCTCCCTTACCCAAAACATAACAACTCTTGGGATACAACCTGGTGCCCGTGGCAGGAGTCCCAGGGCCACCCCCATGCCCACAGCAGCTAAGAGGATGAGCAGTGCTATGGCACAGATGCAGATACGCCTCCGTGTGCAGCTGGTGCAGGAACCACATGGACGGCAGGGACCTGTTGGGAGGCAAGAGTGAGAGGTGAGGGGATGGGGAAGGGTCTGGCAGGGCTGAGAATGGGGTCAGGGTGTTTCAGAGGGGATTGGTGCAGAGACACGAGGTTGCTGTTTCAGGGCTCTGCACATGGGGCGGGGGGTGCTGCTGGGGTTTAGGGGTTGATAGTTGAGTGTCAATAGTCAAACTCCAATGTTAAGCACCTCCTCCTAGGGAATTTCACTGCTTGCAGTGTGGAAGAACTCATGCTGCTCTGATAGAGTGCTGGGGTTGAACAGCACAAATACTGTCTCTGCTGGAGCTCACTCAGGGGACTCGGATGCCGAAGGGTGGAGAAGGCTAAGATCCTGCCCAACCCTGTGGAACAGCAGTGCCACGGAAACACAGAGAAGGTTGGTGTAAGGCTGGGGAAGGTGCCCATCTAGAGCCCATGGCAAAACTCCCCAGGAGGTGAGATTTCATTTTACAGCACCTGGGGCTTTCTGACCCAACCAGGGCTCTAACACTCCCACAGAACGAGACTGGATTATCAGCTCAAAATGGTGGGAGAAGGTCAAAGAGCTGCTCGTTCCCTCCCCAAAGGCATCTCCAGGGCACAGCAACATTCCAGGGACTCCAGCTTTCAGAAAGTTATGTACATAAATCAAACCAAATGCAGAAGCTAAAGGCCAAACCCATAGTGATTGCAGCACAATGGCAGCACACGTAGGAGCAACAGCAGTGACCCTCCCTCACCTCAACCACCTGCACCACTGGTGCTTTGCCTCTAAACCAACATGGATATCTTCCTGCATTCCTTAGGATTTCCAGACCAGCAGCAAAAATATTGACGTGGTCATCTCAGAAACACATTTAAGACGTAAGACAACCCTCCTGTATAATTGACTTCGGCAAATCTGAACTTAAGGAGCTTTAATTAGTTTTAAAAACTTTTAAGAGCTTAGAGAGCTTTGAAGTTGGAATTTGTCTTAGCTGTGCTTAGTGTTTACTTAGTTGTTGTGTCATACAAACTCAAGCAAAGGCACAGCCTTTGCTCAACAGCAGAGGGATCCTGGCTGAGTCAACCTCCTGCTCTGTCACGCTCGAGCAGGAACCAAACACACAACATTTCAGCTCAGAAGAGAAGTGGTGAATTGCAGCATGGCTCTGTCTACAAAACACCTCTGAGCAGAGAGCACAACAGTTCCAAACAGATATAAGTATAAAATAATGGGGCAGTGATGAAATGTTGCAACCTGATCTGTAGATTTGCTATTGGTTCTGTTTGATCTCACCTTCACCTTCTCCTTCTCACCTTGCTCCTATGGGCAACATTGGCTGAAATTTGGTTATTAAGACATATGGAAAACCTACAGCAAGCTCATTATGAGCCCTTCTGTGACAGACAAGGATTAACTATCCCTATACCATACAACTGCCAACTCCAGGCCAGAACAGCTGAAGTTTGTTCATTTTGTGGTCTGGACATTTCACTACACAGAAAGGGGGAAAATCAGTCCAAACAGACCATAGATACTGGTGGTATTTTACATTACGTAGATAATCTCAATTGATTTATACTTTAATAATAAACCCCTGCATTTTATTCATTACCTCTTTCTCCAGAGGAGGACTTTGTTGAGCCCCAAGTAGCTACACCACCATTCCTCTGGAAGGAAAGGGATAAATGGTTGTTTACAGAAGCAGCACACAGTAGCCACACAAGCTTTGCCTTTCTACTTCTCACATCATCTTAGCCAAGGAATATTTAATGTACTCCTTTATTATTACACACAAGCAAAAATTACCTCAGTGGAAACATATCCCAGATTGAACTCCCAAGGCAATCAGTCAGATCACCTTTCAAATCTTAATTACCTATTTATAAAACAAACACTCACCAAGTCCAGAGCTTTATATCAACACTTTTCCTTTTGTATCAAATTAAGTAGAAACCACTCGAAATCTCACAGAAAGCAGTGATAAAGAGATCAGGCAAACAACACTATCAAGAACACATGTACTTGAGGCAACAGCTGTAAGATTTTTCTGAAGGAGGACTGTACCTGGGGGTGAATTTTGTTCATGCTTCCCAGAGCTACAGTCCTTGAAGCAGCCCAAAGGACTGCAGAGAGTTTTCTACACCTTACCACGAGTGATGTTACCCAGGATACAAACCCAACAGAGGCAGGAAAGCAAGGAGTGTGCTGCTGCCCAGGCTTGCAGGCAGAAGGGGATGGGAAGGGCAGTGCTGAGCCTGTGCTCCAGCTCTGGTTGAAAGCACAATTTGTGGTTTGCTTCTCATTCCTCCTGGTTTCATCTTGCTTTAATACAACAGAGCATTAGACAAAACATAAAGGACATGGAGATCTTGGAAGCTGAGAATCCTGCTGCCACTCCTGGTGCCAGTCTGGAAGATGAACACTCAGCTTTAGCTGATGCTGACTGCATTTACCCTAGTGCTGATCAGGGAAAACCCCTCTTCACTATGAAAGCTTGAGAGAAAAGAGTCTGATCATTTTCATGCAAGTCTCCTTTCTCCCCACCTCCGGCCCAAGACAGAGCTGACACTGACCTTGTGGCAGCATCAACCCAGGCTCCTGCCAGATGATCAGATCTCAGCAGAGACCTGCAGGATAGAACCATCTGGAACAGCTTCCCTGCTTGGGCAACAAGCATAGCAAATCCTCCAGGGTCATATTTTACTGCATACTTGAACTTCCAGGCCTACAGTAAGTCCCAGCAGCTCAGCCTGTAGCTAACACGAACTTAAAAATAGATTGCAGCCTTCTAAACTGGCTGCAGGTCTCAGCTCAGCACATGCAGAGGGGAGTTCAGCAGCTTCGAGGATAAAATGTCACAAGCAGGCAGCTTTGCCATGGGGGTAGTGGGGAGAAAAAGCACCAGTTTGAGGAGTTTGTGCTCTTCTTGCCTACAGGAGGATCCATGGGATTCAAGGGCTTCTGAATTGTTGCCACGTCACAGATCACAATTCCTCCCCAAGCACCAGCAAAACCAGCTCACCAGGGCTTCAGAGGATGGGCTGGTAGCAAGATTGCATCTAAGCTGGTCTCAAAACAGGTACCTTGAATTGATTCAAAGCAGCAAATAATGCCTGACACAGAGGAACATCTAGAGGAGCAACTACTTTCCTTGCCATCCCCACACATCCAACCCACCCTCACAGTTACACTGTGTTGATATACTCTTCATGACCAGGGCACCTGCCAACCCTGCACTCAGAGCAGCCAGAATCCAAAACAGTCTCGTAGGAGCTCCTCCTTCAGCACAGCAGCACCAATTTGTCCAAAGCAGAAGCTTCTCATGGAAATACATCACTGTTAAAGTTGGTGCTGCAAAGTCCTCCTGTTCCAAAGGGGATTTTGGGTGAAAACAGCAAATGCCAAGCAGCAAACATTCTGCAAGTCTGGGCATCAGCTACAATGTGGCAGAACATCAGACAAAAGGTATCTTAAATTCTGAATAGCTTGCTCCTTAAAGAGCAAGTTTTAGTTTCTGAACAGATTTGATACAGAAGAACTATTTTGAGCCTTCAGAAAGCTTATTAGATGGTGGTGAGTTTGCCAAGAGCCTTGTGTAAGAGCCAGGTGAAGCAGGACAGCTATGCATCCCCCACAGAACCATCCATAATGAACTGTTCAAAATGTGGAGCAAACCCACCCTTAGAGGCAAATGTCCATAAGACATATACAGGGAAGGGAATAGGGTTGGGGAAGAGTCTGGAACACAAATCTGATGAGGAGCAGCTGAGGGAGCTCTGAGGGCTCAGTTTAAAGAAAGAGGATTCAGGGAGACTTTATCACCCTCTACAACTACCTGAAAGGAGGTTGTAGCCAGGTGGGGGTGAGTCTCTTCTCCCATGTAATAAGTGACAGGACAAGGGGAAACAGCCTCAACTTGTGCCAGGGGAGGTTTAGATTGTATAGCAGAAAAATATTCTTCACTGAAAGGGTTGTCAGACATTGGCACAGACTGCCCAGGGTGGTGTAGTCACCATCCCTGGAGGGAATTAAATGCCATGTGGCACTTGGGGACATGGTTTAGTGGTGGCCTTGGCAGTGCAGGGGGAATAGCTGAACTCGATAATCATAGAGGTCTTTCCCAACCTAAACAGCTCTCTGATTCTCAGACCTGACATCTAGCACCATCTATTTCCTACCCCAAGATTACCAAGCTCAGCTGCAGCCAGCAGGCAGTTGGGTTGTAGAGCAGTTACCCCACATCAGACACTGCTTGTAGTTCAGGAAAAACAGTTCATGAGAATGGGGTAAGAAACACAAAAAACACCTTGCTGAACTTAAAAAAAAGCGTAACAAAAATCTTTGCCAAAGATGAGAGAAGCTGGAGAGGGAACACAGATGAAGATCTCCAGTATGATAGGACACTTGGTAATTCTAGCACCTAAAAAAAAACCCCAATTCCCCCCAAACATACCATGGATATTTCTGCCAGCAATGAATGGCACACACTTGAGAGTTGCCTCATTTGTGTCAAGATGATGCCATTTAAAATCTGATACAGGTTCAGCTGAACATATGCCTAAAGAGAATATAAAATGTGTTCCCCCTGCAATTTCAGTAACTTAGAACCCTTCATTTAAACAGTGGTTTTGAGCAGAGATCAAACCTAAATTGCAGCTTCTGAAAATGAGGATGTCAGGAAGTCAAACATTGAAGAAAAAAATTACTAGGACACGACATTTTTCAAAGTTAAATGCCAAGATAGCTCAGAGTCCATTTAGATTAAAAATCTTGAGAAACAGTTCAATTATTGCAGCTTAGCCAGCATCTGATTTTACTGAGGGAAGATCCTTTGACAAGAGCTTACAAGCACAACACTTAAATTCCTCAGGCTCTGGCTCGCTCTGGATACAGCAGTGCCAAGTGCCAGAGTGCCACAGGCACAGAGCTGCTGTGACCCAACAGCACATTGCTGAATCGCTGGCTCCACTGCACAGATCACTCGGCTGAAATGGCATTAAACAGCAAACAAAACACCCAATGAAAGCACAAGTTGTTTGCTTAACTCCAGCCCAGGACTGTAAGCAATAAAGTTTTGAAGAGAAAGTTTTGTGAGATCAAGTCATCAGTGTAACAGAGGTTGCACTGTCCCCATTGAAACAGGCAAACAGCCATGTGTGTATGGAGCTGTAACACTCCCTCTGCAGCAATGTGTGATAGCAAAGGGAAACCTTTTAACAGACTCCCAAACGTTGCCATGAGCTATTCAGTACGAAAAACTGGGATTGTTAAAGTCCCTTCTGGAAAGGCAGTCCTGAACAACACACTGCTAAGAAGACAGGCAATGATCACTGAAGTAAATAAAACCTGTGCTGACAAAATAATTGCTGAGCATTACTGCACACATCCCATCTGACCTCTGGCATCCTGCAGCAGAGCAGGGCTGGGCTGGGGTTGGCACTGAGCGCAGGAACGCGGCTAAGCCACTGCTGCGGGCAGAGGGATCTCCTGTCCCTGTCGGCTGCAAGTGAACAGCATTCCCAAAGCATCACATTCTCACAACAGCCACACTCAAGGCCTCTGCAGTAATGCCACCTACACACGGAGGAGCTGAAACCCAAATTTCTGGGCTGTCCCACCAAAGAATTCAGCATGAAAAGGTACCGCTAATTTAAGTCTTCAGATTGCAGTTCGAGCATGCTGAGAGAAACCTGCTTGAAACTAACATCCCTTAGTGCTCTGAAACCTCACAACAGCAAAGCTGTTGGAGTGCTGCTCGCTGGGGGCTGCAGCAGCACTGCACAGGCACTGCCTCACGGCCCCTGCAAGGCTCCACCAGCTCCAGTTACACACCATCTGCTCCAAACCAGGGATGACCACTGAGCCAGGTTTAGCAGTGAGGGAACACACACACACTGCTGTATCCTCCAGAATCTCTACTGTTCTCACCACCAGAACTCCTGAAGGTGTTGTTTGGTTTTGTTTGTTGGGTTTTTTTTTCTACCAGCCTTCAAACACTTAGAGGCCTGAAAATAAATCACACACCCCCCCAACTTGCCAACACTGTGGGAACCAATGTATAATAATCTCAAAAAAATACCAAACCTGCAAAAACTAGATTAGAAACATGAGGACATTGCTAGTTGTTGTTGCTGTGTTAGTGAATCATACAGCAAAACCAGGTCACGTTGCCCATGAGAGGAAAGCTGCAGACAGGCTTTCATCCCGAGCCTGCTGTGGTCAATAATTAACCATAGCAAGAAGCTATACAGTCAACGTTTTCTATACAGTCAGTTTTATTTGTCTGTTCTCATTTCTCAGGAATCAACTTGTTTCTGTAAATGAAGTTACAAGACCAGAATAGCTAATCAGGAACAGAAAGCAGAACTTTTCTGAAAACACAGGCGCTAACTTTACAAGCAATTTAAGACTTAAAAGCTGAAGTTTGACAAAAATAAGTGACCATGTTATGTTCTGTGTGAAGAGACATGTTCATGAGTTCTAATGGAGTTTCCATCTCTCACAAGCTGAGTTCCAGCCTGCAGTACCTCACAAATACTTTCCATCTCAAATATTGCCACTCTGTAGAAAAAATATATATCTGTTTTTGAAGAGAGAGTTGTTTGTGCATGGACATGAGCAGGTACAAAAATTCAGCAGATCATCTTATAATATTTTCTCTTAACTACAACAGAAAGTGCAACACTAAAAAGGCATCTCCTGCCTACTTAAAAATTTCTTATACCTTTACAAAGCTAACTCTGAATGTACACATTACACCCTAGAACACACAAGTAAGTTTGAGAGAGTCCTGGCAGAAGCATGAAAAGCATGCTTACAGCTTTTGTAAGCAAAAAGACACATAGCAAACACCAGTGAAAAGTGATTATGCCTGGAAACAAACAGAAATTCATGTCTGAATCTTCACTACTAGTTGAAAACAAAATCCCACGACATTTGTTGATTCTGCAACTTTATCTGTATTTAAAGACTGGCTGCTAAGCTTCTCATCTGAAGAGCCACCACAATCAATCAAGGAGTTGCTAGCTCTGTTAGAATTAGTCTATGGATCCAGTGGAGACTTATTTAAATTGCAGACTGATCCA